CTTTTCGGGTGATGGGGTCCTGCTGCTTCCAGTCCCCTGGAGAAGATGGAGATGTTATGTTGATGCCTTCATGTGTGATCATGTAAAAGCGTGATGTCAAGAGGAGAAATCTCTGATACAACCTTTGGCTGGACCGTATCGTGAGTTTTTAAGTAGAGATCTCTGCTGTTATCTGAGAAGCAACCCTGCAACCTCCCAAAAAAATCTGATTGTGTGATCCATCCCATTTCCTTTGCAAGGCTTGGTTTCCCATACTCCTTCTTTTACGTGAGATTCACTGTTTGCACTCTTTTCTACATAAAAGTAAACCAAAAAGCTTTTAAAAAGTGCTATCTGTCTCGGCTCAGCAGCTGAACATATGCTTTGCCTTCAAGTTATCAAAATTCCCTTAGATGTTTCTCTTTACTGAAAACCTGCAGTTGAATTAAGGGGTTTCTGCTATGGTGGGGTTATTTTTTTCCCCAAAAGCTTTAGGTCTTCACTGCAAGGATTTCATATGCTAGAAAGAATTAAACTCTTCCCTGCCAGGCTGAATATGCGGAGCAAGAGGGAGTGATGCGGTACAGGTCGTGGCAGTTGGCTGATTTCAGGTCGTTGCTGAATTAAAGCCTGACTCTGTAAGCAGCGTGATGGTCTGTTATTTCCAAAGTCTCACAGCATTAGAGAGGAGTTGGTTTAAGAGCCAGAACATTGGTGAAGGCTGGAGAGGACCATCCAGCCTTTTCTCCTGCAGGGGGGACATCCTCTCCTGCCATGCCCGGAGCCTGGACACCCATGCTGGGAGGTGGCTTTAAACAGGAGAACAACCCCCGCTTGCTTTCCTCGCCCGAAGCTTCGCAGCCTGCTCTGTGAAGACTCTTTTTCTGAAAAACTCTTTTTCTCAATCTTAGCAAACCCCTTCCTGGAGCAATGAGCCCTTCTTGCCCTGCCAGGTACTTTGCAGAGGCGGCTCGAGGAAGCGTTTCCCCAGGGATGGCGGGGAGCGGGTTCAGGGCACTGCCGGAGCCCAGATTTTGCTCCCAGCCGGGTGCCAAGTTGGAGCAACCTTGGGTCTTCATCAGCAGGGAGGTGGGAGCAGTCCTGGAGCAGTGCGACAGTGCTGGGCTGTTGCCCCAGAGCCATCCCCACTGTGGGCCGGGGCTCTGCTGCCCACGGAGTGGGTGATGGACCAGTGCTGGGGACTGATGTTCCCCTGTGCCTCTTCCCCCC